TCTTTTGCATATCTTTTCTGTTCCTAATGCAACGCAATACACCCACAGTCATCCATGGCTTAACTGTCCGCTCTCTTCTAGGAACGGTCATTATTAATGTATTTATAGCAATACTTTGTTGTAAAATTGTTATCAGCATTTGTGTTATTAGATTTGGATCGGTAACAGCTAATAATTCATTTAACTTTTCTGTTTCAAGATGTTCCACTGCTTTTTCGTGATTTATAAATGTTTTAACCTTCTTATTTACATTAGGAAACATAGTTTTCGTGGTAGATAATTTTAAGACAATCTGTGAGTGATCAGTTACCGTAGTATCCAGTACAGCTATGGTTGCAGTCCTCTTACAATTTTCTTTTTTTAGTATAAAATGGTCCAGGCAATTATTTCCTCTTGTAGGTAGTATGTGTCCTGGAAGTAAGCCATGACAAGCAAGCATGTTTAAATAATTAGTTCTATTTGAACGCGATAGTGAGGATTCATTTGGATTATATATTAAGTTTATATTTATGTCACCGGTGAGAATAACGTTTTTATGCCTAGCAATAGTTTCTAAATATTGATTAAGGGAATCTATAAATTCATCGGCATTTACTGCTGATGGGGACCGATAAACGCCTATAATAATACTATTATCGATACTTATTTGCAGACCAGAAGCCTGATTTAAGAAAATTTCCTTAATAGAAGCTTGGTGTGTATCTTTTATGTATGCAACAACACCATAAGCTTTGTTGACGTGTTTAGTTGTATGAAACGATGCATAATTCTCTATTTGTGGAATATTTTTATTAAGGTCTATTCTACACTCACTTAAGATAATTACATCAGTCTCAAAGCCAAAACCACCCAAGTTCAGCTGCAGGTCCTCTAAATTAGCATAAACGCCACGTATGTTGAAACAATTGTAAAATCAGATTTTCGTACTTTCATTGTAGACGATGGGTGATTGATTTGGCACTCATAGACAACCGCTATATCTGTATCATTTATTTCATGACTATTTATTAGGGAGCTATTCATTTTTTTATGAAAAGATTCCAAGTCATCGCCACGTGAAACATCCTTGTAAATTGATAAAACAAAAATAGATAAGTTTGATCAATATCAATATGTTGGCATGTAAATGTAACACTATTTGTTGATATATTCAAATTGAAAATTATACAGGGATTTAAGATTATATACTGGTGTGAGTATGAAATTATTAGGCATGAGGGATGTGTACGAATATTTGTGTGTGATATTTTTGTATGCTTAGATAACAGTACGATGTAAAAAACATTAGCTTTAACAATAAGAAAAAATAAACAAGTATTATAGTCTAGTCAACCCATTAATGTTAAATTATGTATCTGGGATTCATCTTTTAAAATAATAATAGGGGAGTTATCTTCTTTACGTAAGTAAACTCGGCCGTAGGACGTCCAGCAATATTTGTAACTTTGCGTTCTGGCAGCGTCTCGAGCAAGGAAAAACAATCAAGCACCTTTAGCAGTTAGTTGCTCCGAGATAAAGACAGCAGTTTCCTCGCTTTTAGTCGCACCTAAGTGTTTTGCTCGAAGCTTCTCCTTATAAGTCCTATTTAACACCTTTGTCATCTTAAGTATTTCCGTTTTTAACATCTTAGATGATAATTCCACAATGATGGGAGTATTCTCACTCTTATCAGATTTTTTACTTGGTACTCTATAAATATCTTTTATGTCTTTTTCGTTAACGTCACATTTGATAGTTTTTCCCAATTCCTTTACCATAATAACTAAGTTTTCATTTGGTAATTTGGGCATATTTTTTATATCCAAGTTTGTTTTACGATTTGCTCGTTGTAAGTCCTCTATTTTATCTTCTAAAATATTGATGTACTCTCTATCCTTAGTTGATTGCTGCTCAAGTTTTTCGATTTTCTTTTTCAAATCTTCATTTTGTTGAGTTACAAAGTTAAGAGAGGTCTCAATATTATTATTAGTCTCTTTAATTTCTAATTGAGTTGAAGATATCTTTTTCAGTTCTTTCTCCTGGATCGATAAGAGTGATGTTATCATATTTTTCATTTCATCCCTAAACATTTTAAATTCGTCATCAAAATCATGCTGTTCTCTGCCTCTCTTCTGACGTCTGCTTATGCGCTTTGGTGACGAGTGTTCTCCAATTATGTCGACTAAGTCAGTATCTGAGATTGACCTGTTCATGTTGTAAGAACAATATTTAACTTGAACGTTATTTAATAAAAATATTTTATCTCAAAGCATACAAGGAGTAATCGTATCGGATCGTATAAAATATATCTCTGTACTATCCTTGATGCGCGATCCTTGAAGAGTTGTCGGACCGGTTTTGTCGCAAAGGCGGGGTGTAACTGTTTACTGGTTACTATTGGAGTGTGGCTAATCACACCTTAGAAATGGCTTCGCACACGCGCTGCACTCATTAGTCAATTGTCATACAATAGGGCTATCTGAGTACTTTGCTATTGGTGAATCAATAATTTTGTTACCAGGATGACAGGCGCTCTCGGAAGTAGACAGTTTCGGCTGCTTGGCTTGCTGAACTTTACTTCGGCGCGAGTTGTGCACTCCTATTTTTTTTACACTGTTTTATTTAACTAGTAATTTAATTTATGAAATAAAAATAAATATTACGGTCTTATTACACGTTTACACCTTTCGGCGGTCCAGAGGGGAGAGGGATAATTAGTAGTCCTTATTTTATTTCCAGGATCGGCTTTAATCATTTGCCTTCCATTATTTTGAATGGTTCTATTATTCCCTACTCAGAAACCGTCAGAAACTTGGGTGTTGTCTTTGACCAGAGTTTCACCTGGAAACCACAGGTGGTCAGAAAAAAGGTGTTTGTTGCTTATGGTTCCCTTAGTCGTTTGCGGAACTTTTTGCCGATCAGCACCAAAATCAACTTGGCAAATTCTCTGTTGTTGTCCATCATCGACTACGCTGACGTTTGCTACAGCGATCTGTCCGAGGGACTCCTCAATAAATTAGAGCGACTGCAGAATGTTTGTATCAGGTTCATTTATAATCTCCGTAAATTCGACCACGTGTCTCACTTCTATAATAAACTTAATTGGCTCCCTTTTCCCTATCCCGGCGCAGAGATCTACACATTCTAACGGTTCTCTATTCTATACTTTTCCTGCCATCTTCCCCACCTTATCTTAAACAGTGTTTCTCATTTCTATCCTCTTTTTCACAGCTCTCGCTGAGATCCTCTTCTAACCTACTTCTTGAGATTCCCTGTCACTCCTCTGACTTCTATTCTTACTCCTTTTCTGTGCACGCTGCTCGACTTTGGAATTCACTTCCTGAGGGTATCAGAAAGGCTCGTTCGCTTAATTCCTTTAGCGATCAAGTAAAAAGCTATTTCCTTTCTTTATCTTAAATTCATTTAATATCCTATTTCTTTGTTTCTCTTATATTTATGTAAGTATAGCTCCTGTATTTACTTTTGCACCCCTCTATATTTCTCTATTATTATTCCTTTTCTACCATAGGTTGCCTGGAAGAGATTGCTGTTTAGCAATAAGGCCGCCTATTGTACTCTTTCTTCTGTTTTATTTGTTTTTGTCTTGTGTCCTTTATTGTGTGCAATAAAGAATATTTATTATTATTATTTATTAGCTATTTCAGGAAGTATGCGTCGTAGAGCATAATGGGTTTTACCTGTAGATGCGGCTTAATGAGACGGGTCGATTGTTCTTATAAAACTTCAGTAGCGGAAAAGTGCAGATAATCGGTTTTGACACTAATAATAATAATAATAATAATAATCAAAAACTAAGGGGACGATTTACTAACTAATAAACTTCTCGCTTTCTAAACGCGCTTTGTTCGTTATTTTGAAAATGTACATATTAATAATTATAATTAGTAATAATAATTAATAGGAGTAACAATTAATTAATTCTAAATTAATAATTCTTATTAAAAAATAATGAACAAAAAATTTACAAAGAATAAGGAAATTTATTTAAATTCAAAATAGGGAACCCTTCTACTACAAAGGCGATGTTCTTGGCTGTATCATTTCGGTGGACATATTTTACCATTTCGGTAGACAATTTTCATTTCAGTGGACTGCCGAAAACTCATCCTTAAATATTTCAGTAAGTGGTGATGTTGAATTTGACCCTTAGGATCGTTTGAAATTGGAAAAAAAAACCATTAACAATATATTTTCTTTTTTTATTTTGCACCTTTAATTGCATTTTGTGCAAAAACTATGGGAGATACGCGAAAATATATTGATACCTTTTTTGTAGGATATTAAATTTTCTACAACTTTGTACTAAGAACTTTTTCTATTTTTCCAGCCAGTCGCGAGATATTGACGAAAAACTCGTTTTTGCACCATTTGGCATTTTTTTTACCCTTTGCCGTCAATGCAGCACCCTGCAATTTTAGTATATTAATCTACGAACCCTTGCGGAGATTTTCGCGTTGGTTGCAGGTGATCAACTCAAAACGACAAAGTTAAGCCTTCATTGACTGGACTATTTACACCTTTCAAAAAGTTTGCAATAAGAAAGTGACAGCATTAACTTTTACCAAACATAAAAATAATTGAAGTTGAAAACTGAAGATCTAATAATAACTGTCTGTCCTAATTCTACAGCAGATGTTTCAATAAGAAACAGCGTAACGGCATACTACGCATCAAAGTAACTGGAGTTTCTTAACCAATTATATATTTTTATTATTCTTCGGCTTTCAGCAGTAATTCCAAATATAGTAATACTACAGTAGACAAAATTCTGAATGCTTAGATCTTGTACTGTTTATAAAAGATACAAGAAAACAGCAACATTGTTTTTCCTCATTTTATTTCCAACAAGGTTCTCAAGTTAATGATATGAAGATGAACCACGTTCCTACTAAGTTATTAATGTTTTTATCGTCAGTTTATAGGGCTGTAATAACAAAAGAGGTTTGCACTATTAAACCCGATATACATTTTTATTTCAATCGTATGATAAATGGTGTCAGTTCGAGTTGGAAGACGCGGGTAGTTCGTCGCCCCGACCCCCGACTGCCACAGAGGCGACGGTCACGCTGCCGCTGCGGCGTCCGCCAGCTGGCTCCACCGCTAACACAGCAGCTCCTGTTCCCAAGGAAGATAGAGAGAAAGGTAAGAGTAATCGTATGATAAATGGTGACAGTTCGAGTTGGAAGACGCGGATCGTTCGTCGCTCCGATCCCCGACCGCCACAGAGGCGACGGTCACGCTGCCGTTGCGGCGTCCGCCAGCTGGCTCCACCGCTAACGCAGCAGCTCATGTTCCCAAGGAAGATAGAGAGAAAGGTAAGAGTAATCGTATGATAAATGGTGACTGTTCGAGTTGGAAGACGCGGGTCGATCGTCGCTCCGACCCCCGACCGCCACAGAGGCGACGGTCACGCTGCCGCTGCGGCGTCCGCCAGCTGGCTCCACCGCTAACACAGCAGCTCCTGTTCCCAAGGAAGATAGAGAGAAAGGTAAGAGTAATTGTATGATAAATGGTGACAGTTCGAGTTGGAAGATGCGGGTCGTTCGTCATTCATAACTTTTAATAATGTGATGAAAGTATTAGAAGCTATTAACATAGCGCAAGCGAATATCACCTAAGTTACAGACTAAAAATCCATGTTATAAATGGAACCTATTGGTAATATGTTGGTATACTTTAGCGGACAATGAGAAAGATCGAGAAAGTGGTGGTACGGAGAGCAAGAGTCCCAGCAACGCTCCCCTGCGAGTACGCCGGTCGCCATCAACGTCGTATTTTAAAATTAGATATTGTAACGAATTGATTGCTTGCTGTATTATCAAATGAAACAAATTTCAGTTTAACTTAAGGCGATAATTTCTTGAGCCAACTTTTAATAATGCATAGAATAACATTGCGCAAGCAAATATCGGCTAAATCACAGACAGCAAATCCATGTCAAAAATGGAACCTATTGGTAATATGTTGGTATATTTAAGCGGACGATGAGAAAGACCGCGAAAGCAGTACGGAGAGCAAGAGTTCCAGCAACGCCTCACCCGCGAGTACGCAGGCCGCCCTCAACGTCATACAGCGCCGGCGCAGGCCCAAGCGACGATCTACGGGCGTGGGACATGTGGATATGGAGGTATAGTATTTGTTTTAGTAACGGCTGTACTACATACACTTTTAAACTTTCGCGTTGCATTATAAATATAATATTTCCTGGGCTAAAACGTGCACTAAATAAAGATTTTCTTGCCTTATTTATCCCGACGTTTCTACCGGGTTACACCGGTCGTGGTCACGGGGCGACTAATGCATTGCTGTTACGTCTCCGTTTCCGATCATGAATCTGATATATGATTTAATGTCAATTAAAGTCATGTGTTGCCTCATTCCAATCATCTCTGAAAGCATTAATTTTAATCAAACCTGATTACTATCTGACGTCTCTGTGTGCGGCCTTAACAGTGTTTTCTACTATAACTCTCCAAATTACCGTACTTAATGTCAAGTTAAAGTTTAATATAACACAGTTGCGAGGCTAAGTGCGAAGCGTGCACGCTTATGTAAACAGTGCGCTCGCTATTCGCCTCGCGATCCTCGCGCTCGCCTTGTGAGCTGTTTTCCGGACGCGAATCAATGGGCACAAATGGCGACCACGAGCTGACTGTTTACACATTCGTCGACATTTAGTTAACTGCCAGAACCCGACCCAACGGGACGTGAAGACAGGGTTGCCAGGCGTACTCTAAAATAGAGTATTGTACCCTTTATCATGCGGGCGTACTCTTTAATCTATAACATAAATGGAGGACGCGCTAAAATACTCTTTTTTACACAATATTAACTATACTAGCCGGACCTAGACCGGTTATTGCAGCAATTTTTTTTAGTTTTTATAGACATTACAAATCATAAAAAATGCTATATGATGAGTTCCGTACCCTTATCTATACAACATTAGCCACTATCCTACTAATATTATAAATGTGAAAGATTGTCGTTAGTGTATATTTTACTCAATCATCCGCAAAAACTACTGAACGAATTTAGAAGAAAATTTGTACTGCTATAGTTTAAGGCCTGGATTGAGACATAGGCTACTTTTTATCTCTGAAAATATGTCAATTTCCTGTGGTATTCTCAAAAAACTAAAGTAAACGGAGACGAGATCGCAGGCGGCCGCTAATATTATAATATCGAGCAAAAAATGGCAAAACAATCGCGTCTGTTGTATGGGAGCCCGCCTTAAATACCTTTTTTTTTCTTTTTTTTTATGTTATAGGGGGCATACGAGCAGACGGCTCACCTGATGGTAAGTGGTCACCGTCGCCCATGGACACTTGCAACACCAGGAGTATCACAAATGCGATGCCGGCCTTTAAGGAAGGAGTACGCTCTTTTTTTGAAGGTTCTTGGGTCGTATCGGTCCGGAAACACTGCTGGCGACAACATATTCCACAGTTTTGTCGTACATGGTAAAAAATTTCGACAAAAACGCACGGTTGTGGAAAGCCACGAATCAAGATGATGGGGATGAAATTTTTGTCGCGATGTACGATGGCGAAATGCAGCAGCTGGAATTAATCCGAACAATTCCTCAGAACACCCCCGTGATAAATGCGATAGAAGATGCAGAGCGAAGCTACGTCCCTACGCAAAGCCAAAGGATCAAGCTGATCGGAAAGGTCCTGGTCGTCGACGATTCGGGCCGCTCGGCGCTGGATGCGATCCAAAGGGAGAAGCTGGTACTGGGGTGCCCCCGCCCAAAGATAAGAGCAGTACTCCATGTGAGGCCGAACCTGTGCCTTATAAAGCTGCAGTCGGTGGGTCGGTGTGAAGTACATTCTCGATCTATTGAGCACACCAAGCTTCTTAGAGGCCAATTTGGCCTTGCCCTCTAAATGATCCCGAAACTGGACGTCGCTCGATATGTCAACGCCAAGAATTCCAATACTAGCTGAGGCAGGAGTGTTCTCAAAAAGAGGAGATACGTCAAATGGTAATTTTTTTGCGGTGAACGCGCATACTTGTGTCTTCGTAGGGTTAAATTGGACTAGATTAAGTCGGCCCCAATTCGTTACTCGGTTTAACAAAGTATCGACTTCAGACACAAGTTTGTTCCGGCACTAGATGACGTTTTCCCGTGAAATGTTTTTTTTTTAAGTGAATATACAACTAAATATTATGTGAATATTTTAAAAATTACACATGCTATCATCCACCATCGTCTGCGTAGACGTCTTTTTTACTTTTTTACGCAGGATATCTCAATAATTATTATATAATCTCAATACTTGCAGCGCGCATGCCGCCATTATTTTCACGTCCTCCATGTTCGTGTGCGAATGTCAAAATGATTCACCCCGCGAATGTGTGACCTGTAGCTCGTGACGGCAGTCGTATATGAATGTTCCGTCACGGTAATATTATCTATACAGTATTGTGACTCGGCCCTGTCCTTGAAATAAATGCCTACGGCCGCGCGGTGCGTTACACGCGGTAGGGCTGCCCGCCTACAGTATTTTAATTTCATCTACATAATTGAGTTTCTTTCTAGTTTTGTGATTGTAAATATTTTATTTTATATGCAAAGATTCTCCGCAAGCCCATATACCCATACCGTAGGAATGCATGACGTCACACAGCTAATCGTGCTTGTTAATCAAAACGTGTATATACAAAATTTCAGCTCAACCAAGATCTGCTTCAAAATTGAGTTGCAAGATTCCACCCGTACAAACATAGTTACATACCTACCTATATTGCAAGTTAATTAAAAGCTTGTAAAAACATAACTGCTGATTTTTATTCTTACATAATTCAATAAAAGAATATTATTTTAAACATATAATGTGATTCAACTAAGAATAGGGCCGACTGCAGTACATATTGTGATGTCATAGCTGTCAATTCAAACCAAATAGGAAGAGTGAGCAAAAAAAGATTTTATTTAATAAAACTTATTTACTAAGATTACCTAAGTGAGAAAAGCATCAGATTTTTTAATAACATTTATTTACTTAGATTGAGAAAACAAAAACCACCGATTTTTAATAATATTTATTTATTAAGACTGTGAGAAAAAACATTAATCAGAATCTAGCTCTTCTATTCCGCTCATCTCTGCATTACCGCCGAAGTAGTTATGAATAATCATGCACTATTAGTAGGTCACATACGAACATGCATCCTTTATGTAAACGAAAGTTTGAAATCGAGTTTCTGAAGGCAACTTAAAGTGAAATTTGGTTGACGATTTAGGTTATCAACCATTAATGGCCAAAGCTCAATAAGTGAAAAAAAAAATATTAACCGATATTAATTATCAGTATTTGTTATTTTTTGTTTACAAATGTTTGGTTTTAACCTTGAATTAGCGAAATGCTAAAAATGGGTTCCAAGTTTTTTTTTGCAAACCGTACTTTTCAAGCCACATTTGACAGATAGAGGTCATTGGCTTTCCTATTCTTATTTGAAACGCATTATACAAGTTATATTTATTTGTAAGTCATGGCACAGTCGGGTAAAAAGGAAATTACCTACAATGTAGGTAAATCTTACTAGGTAGGTACTGTAGAGATCGTTTCATGCAAACTAATTATTGTCATTGAAACACTTTTATTTTCAAGAAATTACATTATTATTATCAATAAACAAAATACTGTTTTTTAAACTCTGCACAAATCTCCCTATTTTATTATTTTTCAGCTTTCAATTCCTGTCAACAATCCGTCTCTTTTCCAAATTACCTAATAGCCGGAGAGCTGGGCTACGAAAAAGTGAACTGATAAGGTGTAGTAACGAATTATATATATAACCTCTCCTTGGTAGCTTATAAGTATAGAGCGAAGCCCGTCAGAACTCTCTCCAGGGGCGGAAGGCGCGGGTGGGCGGTCAAAATCGTAAATTTTCAATAAGAAAAAAATGATAAGGTGCAGTTCTGAAATTTGGTGGAGTTATAGTTTTTAACTGTAGGAAACTAGGAAAATTATTGTCAGAAGTCTAAGTCGGGGCTTAAAGACTGTCAGAAGTCGACAAAGTTGTAAAGAAATTGTTTAAATTTAAACCACAAGGTGTAGTTCTGACAAATGCATTTTTATATTATTTGTTGCTTATCGAACCTGTATATAAATTGTCAGAAGTCTTAATAATGGCTAAGTTCATAAAAATTGATGATATAGTCAGAAGTTGCTGAAGCGGCTATCGCGACAGAAAGCAACTTTTCGAATCTAGTTTTGAGTTAAAATAACAAGGTGCAGTTCTGACAATTGAATTTTTATATTATTTTTAGCTTACCGAACCTGCATATATATTGTCAGAAGGCTTAATAATGGCTAAGTACAGAAAAATTGATGATATGGCCAGAAGTTGCTGAAGCGGCTATCGCGATGAAAAGGAAGGTTTAAAATTAAATAACAAGATGCAGTTTTGGCTATTTATTGTTTTTATTATTTACACTGTTATTTCAATAAATATGCAAATAAGGTTAAGCGAGGGAGATAAAAAAAATATATATAAAAACTGTGATGTCGAGTAATCGCTGACTTAGACGACAAACTTTAAAAAAAATATATTCGTATTCAAAAAAAAATTAAGTAAATAAATAATATGAAAAATGAAATAGAATCGATAAGTTTTACCGAGAGCATTAAAAAAATTTTTTTTGAATGTCAACATTTATTTTGCGCTAAGTAGTTTCTCATAACATACTACTTTACGATGCTTTAAACATGACAATAAAAACTATATAGACCCAATTTTGTTCTTGCCTGATTTATTTATTTGTTTGGGCTTGGATGAGATTATATTATTCTCGCAAGCATAATTCTCTGAAACGATTTCAAAAGAGATAACAGCAGTGACTTATCATGCCAAATTCAAAGAGGACATAATATTGTTATTGTTGTCAAAAAAAAAACAAGATATAAATAATTATACTTCCTTATATAAATATACTTATCTTTTACTCCATCTAAGTTTGACTTTCTTAAAATGACAAAAAAGTAAAAATGACCAAATGTGTATAAAATTATCTGAAATAAAAAAAAAGGTTTTTATGATTCAGTAACTTCTTATCATAGAGTACCTGTAAACTCTCGGCAAAACTTATCGATTTTATTTTATTTTTCATATTATTTA